TGGTACATGCATCTCTAGCAGCTGTGCCAGTGACTAAATGCAGCTGCCTCCCCCTCGGCAGACTGCCTTTGTCCTTAGGGGAACAGAAGATGACTTGCTTCAGGCATTGTCACCAACCCACAGTCAATGAGTGACCAACAACGGGCATGCAGAAGACCAGCCTCCTTGCCCCAGGGGACCAAACCAACTCTGTCGTGCAATTCCTGCTCTAGAGTTCACGACAGAATCAGGCTGAAGCTGGTCTCCAGCTGAGACCACATCCTCAGTTGGCTTTATCACCCTGCATCGAGCACAGCTCTCCTGAGGCACAACTTCAATAAGCCACTTGCACAAGAACCCCTGTCTCAGGCTCTGCTTCCAGGGAACCCAACCTAAGACACATGCTTATTCCGTATGTTTAGTACAAGTCATTTATTGTCACACAGCAATATACCTCTGGAGAAATCAAGGGTGAGATGAGCAGCAACTTGACAAGACCCTAAACCAAATTTAGACATATAACCCAACTCAATTTATAATATTCTAGGGCCTATGCCTACTATCTGCTCTCTTGTTGATGCTAACAATCACATTCTAGCAAATCCAAAATGAAGATTTATTTGTGTATACTCTAATTTTTCTCTTACTCCTGAATATGAATTATAATACTCACTTAAAAAGTTAGCTATGGAGCATTCTGTTCTTAACTAATACATTTATTATAATCCTTAAAAACGTGGCTGGATGGTTGTAAATTACTTTGTAATAATTATTGTTGCTATGGTCATGTCAGTCTCACATTTTTAATTATTTGTGGGGTTTTTTCCCCCCATGAACTGTAAACTCTGCTCTTTGGATGGATGGGTCCACAATAAAGAGGCTCTGGTTAATCTAGCAGTGTTATAAAATGGATCAGATTTCCAGGTTGCAATTAATAAAAATATAATTAAATGCATTAAGGAAAAGCAGAAGATAATTTAATCTTTCTATGATTCAGAAGTCCTAACAGGGTCATCATTATAAACCTCAATTATAGCATTGCTGAAGTGTAAGGAGATTGGCAAGTGGCATTCAGGTTGAAAGAATGCCAGATAGACCAGATTACACTTCATATATCTACAAAAATGCAACTTTACAACATCAGGTACCACATTCAGTGTTTTCCCCCAATATACTGATCCTGTTACAGGCTCTTGCAGAGGCCCTATAGTTAATCACAACTAACTAAATCCATTCTTTCAGCTTACAATAAAAAAATCAGATGTTTCCATATTCATGAGATCACTTTCTCAAAAAACTTCTGCCTAAAGACCCAATCAGATTTCAAATCCCATTTCTGAATATATTAGGATGTATTTTGTTAGGTATAACCTGTTGTAGTTTCCTCTTTTAGTTTATGCTTTATTTTCTTTCCATCCTGGACTTCATTGTTTAATCAAATATACTGATCATTACCTTCCTGCCCCATCAAATTATTTTAAGGGGTTGTTTATACTTTGTTAACTAAACACTTTTATTAGAAGAAACTATCATTAAATCAAAAAGTCTTACATATCTGAGAACTGCTAGTTGTTAAAAAGCCTCTTTATGTTAGTTGATAAATCACAATATTTACAGATATTTGCAGTGTTTCAGTCTGTGCACTAGATTTTCATTAGGAATAAGAAAAAATTCCATATTTACTTGCTTTCCACCCACACATATTGAAAGAGAGATGCCTTTTTTTTCTTTTCCTTCCAAACTTATCAGTAATAGTGACTAAATTAAGGCTTGGTAAGATAGACCAAATAACATTAAATGACCCCATTTGTACATATTTCAGCACATGACTTGCTTCATGGTAGTCTTGGTGTCACAAAATTGTTGCTGTAACTCCAGCTATCAAAGCCATGTTCCAGGTAAGACTAGAGATTGAGTCAGCCCTGCCAGTACCCCACCATCAGACACACAAATAAGGAGTTTTCCTGGAAGTCCATACAACACCTTCCATCCACATACCATTGACCTATACTTAGTAACTCTCATTTGCAAGGAAAGTTGTGAAGTGAAATTTTTCACTGGGCACAAAATCAAGTTTCTGTTACTAAGAAAGAAGGAGTGAAAAGCATTATCTGCCTCATTTTCTTTTTTAGCAAACATTTCCTTAGGTGAGCCCATAGAAGGCTGAGATGATGTCATATTAACTTTTGTAATCCCAGACCCTAACACAATACCATAGCTTAGTATGTTTCATAATGCTTATTAATTAAAGGAGAATATGGAAATCTTAGCGAGTTATAGAAGGAAGACCAAAGACAAGTATCACAGGCAGAGTAAGTAGCATTAGTCTATTCTACTTACACTGCCATTCATTAGTTTAATTGTTACTTCAACTAATAATTAAGCTTCCAATCTGAGCCAGGCCTGTGTCAGGCATGTGGCAAACAGCAATAACTATAACATAGGCCCTGGCTTTAAGAAGGGGGAAGTTGCTGTGAGAACAGTGAGGAATCCACAAGTAAAGAAGCAATTTCAGGGTAATGTGGTAAGAGAATTAAGAAGTGGTCCTGAACCACACTGTTCAAGAGGTTAGGAAGCCGTAAGCAGTCTGGGTATAATATGGGGTGTGAGTGGGGCATGGAGTACAGATAAAAAAGGGAATATAAGAGAGGCTAAATAATAAAGAAAATTATGAGTTACATTCAGAAGTCCATAATGTGCTAGCACACATACCCATCTGCTGTGACAAAATGTTCGTTTCCCCCTTGGACTTCCTCATAAAAGGATTTCCCAGCACTTTGCCTTGATGGATCTGTCCCACTGATGAGACTCTTGGCCGACCTAAACTGTAGGGACAACCGTGTCTCACAGACCTTATCTAAGCATGCAAGGACTGTCTGCCCAGCATCCCATTTTACAGGATGGTGTTCTCTGTTGCACCAGTTTGGAAAATGCTAGTCTGGACAAATATTTCTCAAACTTGGTGATATGACTCCACTGGACACCATGAAAAAGAGTTGCCAGGGGTTTAATCCCAAGAACTGCAGACGTGAACATAGTTTTCTTAGTATGTTAACACTTTGGGTTTCATGAATCAGCAGAGGAAGGGAGGTTCACCTGAACTAGTAAGTCGCCACTTCAGCAATTTTATGGTCAGGTAAGTTATCCCAGTGATGACCTGACAGGTAATTAAGATACTCATTCCTTCCCACAAATAATTCAGTTCAGTTCATAACATACATGGTGAGAAATGTATCTAAATCAATTCCTATTTTCTTTGCCTATCTTAGAGAAAGAGATGTCCCCTTAACCATAAAGGGCAGGTCACAAAGAGAGAGATTTGAAGATGCTAAGCCATGGGCCTTTAAGATGGAGGAAGAGGCCACAAGCCAAGAAATGCAGGAGGCAATTAGTTGGAAAATCCCCTAAATGGACTCTCCCCTAAACTCTCTAGATGGAATGTGGCCCACACTCTTGATTTTTTTATTTGGACCTCCGGGACTGTAAGATAACACATTCTTGTTGTTTTTACCCACTTAGTTTTTTGGTAACTTGTTTATAGTTAGCAATAGAAAACTAATAATACATACTAATATATCTCTAAGTATGGTCCCACTCTGATCAATCCCACCTCTCTCCACCTAAGTCTCTTTCCCTTGGGAGTTTCTGAATCTATCCTCTCAGATTGTTTTCTTGAAAATCAAATCTGATTATGTCACAGGGCTTAAAGTACACGAGTATTCACTGATTCCAGTTAGGATACTTTCTCAGAATATAATCAGAAACCAGAAGTAAGGGTCGTCAGGACATCTGGTGTAATCTCAGGAAGGTGTTAACAGATGTGATTATAGCTAAGAAAGCTTAAAACATATTCTTTCTACTATGTGCTGAAAAAAAGAATGTATTCATCACACTGGGCTGAGGTGGGGAAGAGATTTTCTGGGTTTATCCAGGACAGGGAGGTGAATTCACCGACTTCAGGGCCATCAGAAGACACACTCCAGTCTGGAGATGGAGCTAATTTCCCCAGGGACCAGGATCCTAGTAAGTGCTTCTCCTCAAGGGTGAACATGCTTATTCACTCACAGTGAATTTCATCCTGATTTAAATGCTGGTCATATGAAAGCTGGTTGTCATGAGTCAGTCATGATGCATGATAAAGTCGAGGTCAGGACCTAACTGGTGACGAACAGAAACTAGATTAAGGTTCTTCTACTCGGTGAGATGCTGAGTCCTGATTTAACAATAGCCAAGCTCCTGCCTGCTACCACTCACCCCCTTGACCCCCACCTCCAAAAGAGGATGACTATGACAGCCAAGAGAAAGTTCTAAGAAGGCAGGAGAGGTCAACATTGGCAAATGGCACAAAGGACATGACAAATTGGGGATTAAATGTTTCTGTTAGATTTGGCAATTAAGTGGTGATGGATGTTCCGTCGTGTGAAAGGCTAACAAGGGGAATGACAGCTTAGGAGACATTAAGCATAGAAAACTCTGAGAAGAGGATCTGAGCCCTAAAAGTCATCTTTAAATAAAATTCCCTCTGGGTTTGCATTTGAATTATGGAGAACTCTTGACTTGTCCCCAAATCCTCCAAATGTTGGTTAGCCAAAGTTAAATCTTACCATCTCTTTCTCCTCAGCTCACCTCTGAGACTGAGGAATTAATGAGCTATCCAATAACTAAAAGACAAAAAACCAGAGGAAGAAACAAAGGCCTACAAACCCAAACTCAGAAACCCGTCACATCCAGCCCTCCTAAGCTGAACTGTAACAAGTGGCGCTTCAAATTTAATATCCTTGTTCTGATGATTAAGAAACTGAGTGTCTGGAGAATTTAAGAGGGGCATTTGTATAATTGGAACACTTTCTTGCATTTCATCCACTGTCTTCACCCCAGCTCCCTCCAAATTAATAGCTGCTGCCGAGTTGTGGGCATGTGTGAACACAGACCTGGACCGAAGGCTGAATTTTGTCCACTGGCTAGAGTGATTTCGTGCCGTTAAAAAGAAATAAAGATGTGGAATAGTGAAAACAACATACATATCTCCATTTCCAGGTGAAAGCACTGGGTTTCTTCCTCGGCTATATTGGCTGTATTTTAAGGTAGGTGGGGGTGGGTAAAAAGCGGTTTTCTGAATCTCAGCCCAGCTCTTCCTAAACTCGGTTACTCACGTCTGATTCACTCGCTGTGGTTTTCGTCTCCTGTCTCTGTCACTGTCGCTGAATCACTGCCACTCCGGATGAAAAGCAATTCAAACCCAGTCCTTGGGGGATGGAGGCTTTTTTTTTTTTTTTTTTTTATTTGCAGGTCTCACCCCGGGCTAAGGAAGATTTCGCTCTCGGGAGCGCGGGGCCCCGGTCGCCTCCCGATTCCCGGCCGCCCGCTCCGCAGGCCTCGGGGGTCGCGGCGAGCTGGGCCGGGTGGGGGGTTGGAGGGGGAGCCGGAGCGGCCGCGCCGCGCGCCCCGCCGCCTGCACAGCTCCCACAATGCAGCGCCGGCGTCCCGGTTCCGTTACAAGGGCTCCCCCGGCGCCGGCGAAGCGGCGGGGCACGGGCGGGGGAGCCGGGCGGCCGCGCCTGTAACCCGAGCGCCCGGCCGAGGGGGGCGCCCCCGCGCCGCTCCTCTCGCGCGCGCTGCCCGCGGCCGGCGAAGGGGCGGAGCCGCCCGGCCGCCGGCCCGGCCCGGCCCCCAGCCCAGAGGCAGCGGCCGCGGGAGGCAGCCGGCCGCCGACGCCGCGCTCCGCGCCGAGCCTCGTCCGCCCGTTCGTCCTCCCGCGGCGGCGCTGGGGGCGGCTCCTGCCGGCGGCGCAGCCTCTGCGCGCGCTCGCAGCCCGCGGCTCCCGCCAGGGCGCCCCTGCTCACCCAGCGCCGGCCCGGAGGCGAGCGGCGTGGGCGCCCGGGAAGCCCGGGCCTCCCGCCGGCGCGGGGAGGGCGGCGCGGCCGCCGCCGCGTCCCCAGCGCCCCGGCTGGCCCGCCGGGCAGCCTGCGGGGGCGGCGCAGTTGCGAAACTGAGTAAGTATCAACTTTCCTCGGCGGCCGCGAGGTCTGGGCAGCGGCCGGGACCCCTCCCTCCTCCTGCTCGAGCCTCCGGGCTCCCGCGGCCCCGCCCGCCCCGCGCGGTCTGCACCGCGGCTCCTCGCCGCCCCGGCCCACCGCGCCCCCGCCGCGGGCTCCCTCTGCCCGGGTCCCCTTTCCGCCCGGGTGTGTGTCCCTGGCGCCGCACGCGCGCGCCCCGCACCGAGAAGTACGCGCGTGTTCCCTGCTGGTTTCTTCCCGGTGTCCTTGGCTGCGTAGTTTAGAGGCCACTTTGGTGGGGAAGAGAACTGTACGTCTGACATCTTCAATATTTTTCTCTACAAATGGAAATCGGATGCCCGCTTGCCGGGTGGCAACGTGGTGAACGCTTATTTTCTCCTCTGGAAAAATAAAATGGTTCATAGGTTTTTAATTTTTTTTTAAATCTATTAGCCGCCCTTTGTCGCTATTCCCCCTTGCCACCAACCCGTCTGGGGCGGGGAGGAGTTGGGGGGAGAGACAAGCAGAGGGGACTTCTAAAGTAATTCAGTTTTTGCAAACTAGTAACTTTGAAGAGGGTGCATCACAGAAAGCTTAATAAGGGACTGCCAGAGACAGGAGCTTTGAATGTGGGTCCTTGTGCGGCACTGGGTTTTCACAAGACGAGTACCTGAGTCCGTAATCGAGTGTTGCGTTGTTACTTTAGCATCATAGAGCCGCCTGGTGTTGCTAAACCACTACTTTCTCAGCATCAAATGGCATCTTGAGCAGTGCAAGCTCCGGATATAATTGCGGGTCAGTGTTGCCACTGATCTTTAGAGATTTAGCAGGGGAAATAGATGCAGGGCACATTTCATAGCTGACTTGAGCCCGTCAGGTTAGCCCTGTCCATACATCAAAGCATTGCATTTTTAAAAATTCCCCCAGCTAGGTGACAGCGAGGACGAACATTTATGGATTTTCCGGTATGATGTGGCTCAGCAATTCCTCATTGGAGCTGTTGTGTCCCCAGGAAGCACCTTGAATATATATATAGATCTCTGCTTTTCTGTCAATTGGATTAATAATTCATTCGGGTAGGAGGCCCCAGATACTTTTTTCATTTTTGTTTTTGTTTTTTAAATCTTTCATTTTGGAGTTAGTTGCCAGGAGTGGGCGTTCATACTATGAAGGAAAACAAAATAGGAAGCTTTCCTAATAGATTTTCAGCATCCTGTCCTTTGCCTGGGTGAGGCAGTAGTGAATGCTGGCTAGCCCTCTGCAAGGAGAGGTCTTGGTAGATCCAGGAATCAGGACGCAGGACTCAGTACTGTACTATCATTCTGGAGGGGGGTTTGTATGGTGGTATCTTTTAGCGCCTGTTTAAGTGCCCTCCCCATTTATCTCCATGGAGAATTCTCCCCAAACAATAGAAATTACATGTGACCATATCCCACTTTAAAAAGGCTGGACATAATTTGATGATAATTCTATTGAAGGGTCAAACCCAACAAAATATAATTTGTAATGTAGGCAATAAAACCTTTCATAAAAACTACCCCTGTCTCATTTTCTCTCCATTTAAGAGTCTCAAGCTGGTACTCCCAAAAACAGACACAATTGCTGGTAATACATTGAGTTCTTTCTAAGGTTCATTGATCAAGCCTCATTCAGGGGCTTCAGTAGCTGAGAACATCAGAGAGCCCAGAGATGGGATTGTTTAAATAGGAAAATCATTTCAGTTTGCTGAAGTGTCAAGTTCCTACAGGGAAAAGCAGGTAAAAAAAAGAAAATGTTTTGAGTTTTTAGCGTGCATGTTTACTGAATTTGGCATTTGGTTGAGATATCTGGAAAGTGTAGACTTCAGATTCTGTGTACCTGTGGTATCATTTCTTTCTGCCTAACTTTTTTATGGGTTTTGATTTTTTAATGTGTATCTCAGTGCTTGGCTTCTGTAGTCTTCTTACTGGGTGGCTTGCATTAATTTTGGACTTGAATGCCTTGGTAATTTTGAGAAATGATTAGTTTTTCAGAGTTTCTTACTTAATTGATCTGTCTTATGTTAATATCTATAATGACCTGAGAGTAAAAATACTGTTTGCTGCTGGTTATTGTTGCTCTTTTCATTATGGCTGGTTCCTGGCATCATGGCTTTGCTTATTTATTGTAAAACATTAGGGCCCTGGATATCTTGCTAGTGTTCAAAACATTGCAGAACTCTTTGCAGGTAGAAGTGGAGTGGGGATGGAGTGGGATAGGAAAACAACATGTGTCAGTACTGTGAGGATTTGAATTTAAGCAATAATGTATCATCTGTGTACTCTCCTTGAGTGCTAGCTTGCTGCCACCCCAAAGAGATTGCACAATTCAAAGTGAAAAGATAGTTTCTAAGAGCTCTGCTTAGTGGAAAGAATGCTCACCCCGAAGATAGCCAGCCAGACTTCAGTGGTAAATGTGATTTTGTCACCCGGAGTTGAATAAGCTTGGCCAGGCTTCTTAAACCTCTGTGATCTACAGTTAGCTTCCTGTCAAACTGGCATACTACTACGAAAAGGGGATGTTGTGATAAGTAGAACACCTGACACCATGCCTGGCACATCTTAGCCAATAAATGGCATCATCTCAGATTTCTCCAGACCTGAGCTTTAACTACTCAGCCTTTCAAACTGTTCCTCCTTGGTTCTCCATCTCGCCTCAGGCCAGAAGGCTGTAGAGTCTCTTCTCCTCTCTCCCTGGTATTCTTTCACTCTTTCACCTCCACCCAGCCAGTTTGTCACAAAGTCATGTCCACCTTTCTGGCAAAATTTCTTTCAAACCTTTCTGATTTTCAGTCTTCTCTATGCTACATCCCCCGTCCAGCCACCATTCTCTCTTCCCATTGCAGAGTCCTCCTGCACCCACTCTATACCCCTTCCAGGCCCTTTGCCCACCAATAGCCTAAAAAAGAAAAAAATGCCACTTGCCATTTAGTCTTCAAAACTCTAGGAAACACATTTATACTTGGGATAAAATATAAAATCCTCACCATGCCTACAAAGTCCTGTGTGTTTTGGCCCCTGCCTCCCATATTCATCTCTTGCCATCCACTTTGTCCATTTTTCAGCAGAGTCATCTCTGGGTTTGTTCTTTAAGCTGTTGGTCTCTGTTTTAGGACCATCTCCTTGAGTAATTTCTTACTCTTGGATGTAGGTTCAAATATCCTCCTTATAAAGGCCTTTTCTGAGACAGCCGCCCTTATCATCATCTTAGAAACCCTTTGTTTTCTCCCTCATAGCACAATCATCTTTTCCTTCTTAATATTTACCACGATTTAGAATTATATGTCATTTAATTGTTTTATTGTTTCTGTCTTACCCTAAAGGGAATAATATCTTGTTTATTCCCCAGTCTGTCCCCAGTGCCTGTTATGTATAGTAGGTGTTCAATAAAGTTATTTTTATAATGGATAAGATAGTGTTAGCAGTTTTGTATTTGTATTTTGATTGTCTTCTTTACCACTGTTAAATCTGCTTTTCATAACAGAAGAGCCCTTCTGGCACTCTTCTCTCTTCCTTCTTTGCTGGTTTTATGTATAATATTAAAACCTTTACAATATCAGATAAAATGAATGCATGTGGGCTCTGCAGAAAATTCATAATAATAAATTGAGACACCTTTTAATTAGTGTTACCCTTGTGATTTTCTATTGTAGATAATCCTTTTTCTAAGTACATCATTAAAGTAATTATGCTTTTTTTTCATCAGCACAGGATTACTGACAGAAAAAAAATCTTACTTGACTGTCACACTGTTTTACACATGTCATACGATAACCCATTAGTCAGCAGCTGACTGCTTAGTGCTAGACTTCAAAGGAAGGTAGGGAAAACTAGTATGAAAATGAGAGTTGTAGTTTTAAGGATGTTTAGTATTGTCCAGCTGTTGGTGTGACTTGCATAAATAATTGGATATTATTTGACCATTTCCTTACCTTAGAGGAGTAGTTGTTTAAAAATGGGGGCCACCTAGAGGTCTGGAAGTTCTTTTTCCCTCTCTCACTGAAGCATTCTCCGTTTCAGCCAGCAAAGTCTCATGACTTTCCAAGGCCAAGAAAGGCTTAAAAGTTTTGTTTGAGTATTTTTGTCATGTGATTGCTCT